AAGTATATATAAATATATATAAGAAATATTCTGTAGGCTCAGAAGTACTTTTTTTTTTTTTTTTTTTTTTTTTTTGTTCTTTTCTTGAATATTCAATATAGTTATACAATAAGATAGTTGAGATAAAAATCGTTATGCAATAAAAGAAAATATATACAAAAAAGAAAGAACGTGGAGACTCGCAGAAGACCTTCAGGTCTTATCATCGAGAACCGCTCGTGAATATTAAGTACATTAAATTAACATGAAGTATAAAATCTAAACAATGTCGTATTAAAAATTAGCGAGACGTAAATTTCGTAATAATATATAAATAAAATTGGAATAAAGGAATTGTTGATACTCTTATATATAAATACAAAAATATTTTAAAAAGTACTGTTTTCACAAATTTTCTTTGAGCTTTGAGCTTTGAGCTTCTTTTGAGCTCACAAATTTTCTTTGAGCCACAATACTTTTATAATGTGAAAGGTGAGAAAAACATGTTTACTCAATTTATGATTACATTACATTATTCATTTTTTATTAAAATAAAAACATCCATTTTTTTAGAAAAGTGCCTAAAACCCGTCAAACCTAATATATTCTAATGTTTGTTTAAAATTTCTAATTTCGAACAAAAATATTAGAAAACTACGCTTTATAAATTGAAATAATTTTAGTCCATATTTTAAACACGTTTGATATCTATTACCTGCAAAAGCCACCATGACCAAAAGTACATACTTGACCATTGTTCTTACTTGTATTGAAAGCATGCACTGAGAAATTTATAGCTTTTATAAAATAACGTAGGTGTGGCAGCCTCTGGCTCTAAGCAAAAATGAAAAACAGTTTTTTAACTTAAAAGCAGTTTAACATATAGTTTATTATAAACAGTTAAATTAATAATAAATATGAGAAATATATTTAAAAAAAGCGTATTACAAGCATGAATATACCATTTATAGGATTTGTAAATGTTATATGAATATAACATTTACAAATCCTAAACGTAATTAAAAGTTTACAAGTATAGGAAAATGTTTATTTTATAATAAATTTTAATTTTTTTATAAATAAAAATGCTAATATCTAAATAAATTATATATTTATTATGTACTATGTTCCATTTTAAATGATCTAAGATGAAGTCAAAAACAAAATTTATTACACAAAAATTAAGAGTTTATTTTAATCTTTATCTAGTGTGTAATAAAAAATGGTGCATGAAAAAAAAAAAACTTAAAAAAAAACTTAAAAAAAAATATCCTGCTATAAATTTAAATTTAAGGTAGGGTTTAAGGTATCTTCATATATACTATAAATTAATTTAATATAAATAAATATAAGTTTTATATATAAATTATTCAAGCGGGCATTTGTTTTTAAAAGTTACCTTCTAAATGTATTTTAAATGTCTTTTAAACGTCTTCTAAACATTTTTACGCAAAGAACGTTTAAAAGGCGTTCAAAAAACGTTTAAAAGAAATTTAGAACATAACTTTGAAAAACAAATGCCCGAAGGGATATTTTAAATATGTATTAATTAATAAACACCCAATTTACTTCTTAATTTCTTATTTTTCAAAAGTTAAACCCATATAAACGTTTTATCTCCTTTTTTTGGACTTATCATAAGTATAACGTTACATGGTTAAACACTAAACCACTTTATCAAGTTTAATTTTCACTAAAATCACTCAAACCACTAAATCAAGTTTAATTTTCTCAGTGAATACTAAAAAAACAAAAGTTCATCAAGTATTTGTTTTTTTACATAAGGGGTGGAGGGGGGACAAAAATATTATTGTTTTTTTTGTTCCAGTTTTTTATTTTTTTATTTGCAAAGCACTCTCATTTGTTATGGCTTAATGAGTACGGAGCCCGCTCAATCAAATAAATCTAATCAAAATTTTTAATACTGATTTAAGTCTATATAATTCTTTTTCTCCACTTTTTTAAATACTTTTTTCATTAACTTGCTTTTTAGTGAATTTTTGTTTTTATTAGTCAGGCCTGTAGCAACCGGGGGGACAGCAGAGGCATTCTCCTCCCATGACGGTAACTTAAAATTAAAGAAAAACATTTGTTTAAACCTGTTTAAGTTGGAAAATCTTTTTTAAGAATTTCATACTTAATAAAATTGACAGTACGGAAGAAGTAATATTGTTTAAAAACACATAAAAACATTTATATATTTTTTAATATTGTAAAAAAACATTATTATAAAAACATTTTAATTGTTTATTATATATTGTAATTAAAATATTCTAAATCTTTATATTTTATTTCTTTTTTAATAGATATCTCTAGGGGATCTAACATTCTTCGCGTATAGTGGATTGGTTGACGAATCATTTTTAAGCAACTATCCCTTATTGCTCGAGCTGAATAAACGCATTAGAGAAAGTCCTGAGTTAAAGTCGTATTTGGATTCTCGAATACACCCACTTTTACCTTAAATAAATGTTTTAGATTTATATTAGTTTGCTTGGAATTTGAAATGCTTGTGTTTTTACATCAGTTATTATTTTATAATACCAGGCCCGTAGCAACCGGGTGGGCAGCAGGGGCATTTCCCCCCCCCCCCCCTCTTCCAAAAATAATTTTTTAAATAAATAATTTTGAAGAAATCGAATGAAAATATGAATAAAAAGAAAAAAAAATAAGGTCCTCAAAAACTATTTCAGGGTAGTACGAACCCCCCCCCCCCCCCAACCCATATATTTTCAAATATTTTACATTGTCAAATTCAGGCCCTAAATACGACAATATAATAAAACGTGAAGTTTGTTTTTTTATCTAAAATTAAATACTATATTTAATATTTTTTCAATCTGGTTTCCCAAGGACAGGAAAAATCTCAATTTTAGTAGCATTTAGTATATATATTGGATTGAGTTTTTTTCAAAATTGTTCTTTAAAACTTTTATTTCGTTTCTAGATCAAAATGTTAAAATAATAATAACAGATTTATACAGAAACAAATAAATTTACAGGTGTTGATTGCGAAATTATAATAAAAATATTAATGCTTGACGTTCCGAGTATTGTTGATAGAATGTAAAATTTGACAAAAAATATTTTTTTTTTTACATATGGTAAGAAAAAATTTTTTATGTATATATATATATATATATATATATATATATATATATATATATATATATATATATATATATATATATAAAACCTTTAACAAAAAGTTTAACAATTGTGCTAAAGATATCTTAAAACTGTATAACGCATCTATGTATTTATAATGGAACCGTTTTTCTTTTTCTTTTTTTCTTTAAATTTGTTTATGTTTTCAATTCTTAATTATTTGTTATCTTCAAGTATGTTAAGTATATATTCCTATTGAAAGTTTATTTATTTTGAGAATATTTTATTAATACGAAATATTTACACGAAATTTTTTTAGCGGTTCTCGACGACAAGACCTTACGGTCTTCTACGAGTTCCCGCGTTCTTTTATTTCTTAATAACGATCATGTATATATATATATATATATACATTGTTAACGAATATTTATTAAATTACAAAGTTGTAAAATTAAAGAACAAAAAAAAAAAAAAAAAAAAAAAAAAAAAAAATTATATATATATATATATATATATATATATATATATATATATATATATATATATATATATATATATCGTCTTTTTTAGGTCCAGTGCCCACTGGGAAGACTACTTGAAAATGAATAACGGTGTTTTTTTGCTTCTATTGGTATTTTAATGCAAAAAATGTGGCTTCCAAAACATTATACAACTTTTTATAACTTTAAAAAAAAACTCACAAAAAATTATCCGCACAAGAATTACTTCGTATGGAAATAATGTCCAAGGGAATTGTAGTGATGTAATCTATAATACTTTTCGAATGAGAATCGACTAATTGTTAATTTTTGTCCAGATATGAAAATGGAGTGTTGCAATCATTACAATATTAATTTGAGATCACTAATTTATGCTGTTCTGGATTTTTTAATGGTAAGGAACAAGTATAGTTAAGCTAATCGAGAATTCATTGTAAAAGATTATAAGGAAGCAGTCAAACAAGAACAAGTTGGATTATAGATTAATGTATTTATTGTGATATTTTCAAAGAAAAAGTGGCTCGTGCTGATATTAGTATGGTCTTTTATGGACATTTCAACAAGACAACGACACCAAATTAACCTCTAAACTCTTCAAAGAATGGTTTAAAACAAATTAAGTTAAAGTAATAAAATGGCCAGCTCAATCACAAGATCTCAACCCAACTGAACATTTATGGTACGCAAGGTTTAAAAACCGTGAGGCGTATTAAGGCGGTTTCCCTATATGTGAGGCTAGGCATAAGCCACATTTTGTTTGAAAAAAAACTCTTTTTTTTTTAGGAAAAAGGTTAATACAATGAAAATAATACTGAAGTAAAATCACTAGAAGTTCCAAAATAAATCACTTTTTCTTAAAAATTAATTTTTTTAAGAAAAAATACTAATATCCTATAAATATTAATAGCCTTCGTTTTTCTTCTTTTACTTCTTTGTATGTTGAGAAACTTCACCTTCTTTGACTTTAAGAGGGTTATCAAGAGCTATATTGTATCAAGATTTTCATAGGCCTCCATGCTCAGGATTTTGGAGCTCTGAGATCCATTCATCATCAGGATCTACATTATCCAAACAAAGTGGATCTTTAATTGTTCTCTTCTTTAACTCACTGTGTTTGAGTTTCAAATTGAACATAATGTAAACCAAATTATTGAGTTTCGCTTGTTTCAAGCGATTTCTTCTCTTTGTATGCACCTATTCATTAAAATAATAAAACTCGGTAAAATAAAAATCAAAAACATATAAAACTAAAATACTATTATTATTACTTGATTGAAGGAGCTCCAATTCCATTCACATCCAGAAACACTGAAAGTCAAGATCAAGATTCTAATGGGAAGTTTTGCTAGTTCAGGAGTTTGATCTCCAAAAGCTCTCAACCAATCCGCAGAAAATATTAATGACATAATTTTTTTTTCCTGTCATATAATTTTTTTTTTTTCATATAATTTTTTTTTCCTGTCATTTATTGAATTGACAAGAAAAAAAAAGATTGAGATGTGATCCCATATTGGATCCATCCCGATATGGGATCAAAAAATATAGATCCCATATCGGGTCCATCCCGATATGGTTTATCAAAAAATAAAATAAAAAATTATTATTACAAACATACTAAAAATTTCCAATATGAACCGACTGTTCACAATATCCCAAACAATCTGATACTTTGCAACATCATTATTAAAATTTCAAGCAATTTCTTTTTTTTCCCTGTCCATAGCTTTGTAAATAAATTCCATTAGTGGATACTTCTCGGAACCTACCATTTTAAGAACTATGACCGAGGACTTTGTTGTGTTGAGCACATAAGCAACACCAGGCCAAAACAACTTGCTTTTTAGAATTATGTTGCGCACATTTTTCCCCAATTATCGAGATGCATAAGCACTGGTTTTCCACTTTTTTAGATTAAAAAAGGAATCCAGTCCATCCCTTGCTCCAAACAAGCTTTGCAATGTAAGAAATGCAGTAGCAAATTGAGTAACAGCAGGTTTCACCAAATCTCCATCAGTAAATTTTCTTACCATCGCTGAAACCCATGCATAACCATGGATAAAGTTTATTATTTTCTTGGCGTTGATGAAAACAGAAGCATGAAAGGGTAACTTGAGGATGTCCTTCAACATTAGGTTAATGCAGTGTGCTGCACAAGGTTTCCAGTACAAATTTTTTCTTTTTTCTATCAACATTTGCCCCGCTGTTTCTAGGGCCGACGACACGGATTTTGAAATGGGGGGCTGGGGCACAATGGTCAATTTCTAAAAAAAAACAAAAAATAAAGGTTCTTTAGAAAAAAGTGGGGAGGGGGGCTAAGGGGCCGGTTTTGTTAGCCCTAGCTTTATAAGCCAAGTCATCATCTGTTTTCACTTGGATAACATTTTTTCTCCAACTTCCTCAACGACTTCATCAAGTAATCTAAATGTTCGCAACTCATGCATAGTCGGGGGATTAAATCCGCTTCCAAAACCACATACATCATTTATCATGGCGCAATATGAAGGGTTTGTTGCTACATTGAACGGTATTGAATTTTCATAGAAGAAACGTCCAATAGACCTGTAAATATGTCTTCTTTCGTATTTTTTCCAACTCTCATTCAAGGTACATTTGATAACCCGTGGAACATTGAGCTTTCTCGCTACCAATTTTTACTTGTTGTATAAAGAAATCAATGGGTAAACTTGTTTGTTTAACTTGATTGCACTTGAGCCTATTTGTGCTTTTCGTAATTATGGATTGCCTTCAGTAGCAAATGGCTCTTGCGTTCCCACTTGACAAACCTCCTCCTTTTCTTCAAATGCTCTTCTTTCATCCTCGATTTTTTTCAACATAAACAACTTCATTTCTTCTTGAACCTCAATGGAAACTCGTGGACAACCTGAAACATTTCTTATGAGTCTTTGCGAGATGCTCTTGTAGCCTTTTAATTCCACCAGCGATCTTCTTCTGACAAAAGTTGCACTCAACATATATATGTAAGTTTTGCCTTCATATGACCAAATTGGAGGAAGTTCAACACAATATTTTGAACCAGGATCAGTCCTCCCACTTATTTTTGACAACTTTGACATATATTTAAAGCTGTAAATTTTTAAAATAGTTAAGAAAAAAAGCAATGATTGATCATAGCGAGCTGCTATTAATTATACAATTCCATGTAATCAATTTAATGATTAGTTTATACAGTTAAACGGGCATATGAGTATAATATAAGATTTAATTATACAACTTTAGAATATAAATTAGAAATATAAATTTTATTAAAACCACCATTATCATTCTAATAGTTCATTCTCTTAGTAAAAGTAAAAATATAATTTTATTTATATATGTATATAACAAAATATCATTAAAGTCTAAAAACAAACTCTACAAATTAATTTTTTTTTCAAAGTCTCTTTTTAACTTTAAATTTGTCGATTTTTATAATGCGCTCCATATAAACGCACACATTTAAATTGAATTTCATTATATTACCTGTTTCGTAATTATCATTTTTAACGCATTCCTAGAACTAAAAAAATTGCGTAAAAATGTTTGAAGCACACTGTAGTTTTTAAAAAATGTTGTTGGAGCAGGACAAAAAGCTAAAATTGATGGTCGAGTCGGAACTTGACGCAATACGGAGTACCAGAGTAGAGCTCGACGTAGAATGGGGATAGCTACGAGCAGCCCCGTAGCGAAGCTCGGCGCAGCGCAGAAGACCAGAAGGTGGCGCAGTAGACCAGACCGGAGGTTTTTTTGCATGTATGGTTTAGGAATCGGGGGCCGGAATCGCACGATAATGCTATAATTTAGGGAAAATAATGGTCATGGGCAACATACGTGGCCTTTTTTAGTTCATTGCTAATAAGGCAACGCCTCAGGTGTGCCTCAGCGCCTCAACGCCTTATCGAACCAAAAAGGCGAA